TCTAAATATTTCAAAATAATTTTATTTTCAATATAGAATTATAGATGTATAAGTAAATATAGAACATAACTTTATCTTTTTTCTTCTATTTATCTCTTGTAATATAACAATAAAAAGTAAATAGAATTCTAACAAACATTGACTAATCGTAAAGAATTTTTATTTTTTATAAATTGATAAATAATAGGAAGAAAAAAAGAAAAATTAAACGAATGTCTCTTATTTGAAGTTAACTATAGTTCGAATATAAAAAGAAATAGATTATGCTCATTTGTTTTTTTATGTCTTCTTTGTATGATTTATCTAGTAAGAAAAACGCTTGTACATACATATTCAATGATTATTGACAATCAATGAATATTTTCTAGACTATTTGATATTATCAATCATAAAGTTCTATATAGGAAAAGATATACATATATTTGTATTCATGTTTATTTCAATATATGACATATCTTATTCTTCATATGACTATAAATTCTAATGAATTAAATCATATCATTTTACATGCAGACAATACTACTAAAATAATATATTATACAAGTATATAAATATTTCTTTATAATATATAAATATATAAAATCTAGTTTTTATTTTCTTATCTATTGTTTATAAATATAGAGTACTTAATTTTGTAGAACTATATATTAAAATTAATATAAAATATCATTTTTTCTAATATGAAAAATATTAATATGAATATCATAGATTAATATAAAAGAATTTCTTGATTCACTGTCTTAGAACATAGATTTTTACAAATCTATTCAACAGCGTCTAATTGTGAAACTTAGATTTAAATTTGAAATTGAATTCAATGCTTGAATTTATTTAATAATAACTTATACTTAATCTAAAAACATTTTTGTTTTCATAAGTATATTTTCTTATGAGAAACTTCTTTGTTTTCTTTTTCTGTTTTGATTTTTTATCAAAGAAGAAAAAAACAAAAAACTTTACCTTCTGATTCTTCATCATTAGTTAAATCATGTTTTGTTTCTTCTGTTTCATATATATTAGAATCTTCGATTTGTTTCAAACATTTCGCTGATGGCTAAAAGAAAGAAAAAACAAAAAATATTTTCATTTTCATAAAATTATTATAAATAGAGAATAAAATCATTGTATTAAAAATTTAAACAATAGTAATAAATAATAAAAAATAATTTATTTCATTTTATATATGATAATATATATAGAAAAATTAAATAGTATATAATGAATATTCTTTGAATTCAGAAGAATATGAAAAATTAATATTTTGTATGTATATGCTGTAGTAGAAATTAATTTATTTGAAATATTCCAGATAGCCTATGATACCTACATAAGTTTCATTATCATTATCTGTTGTTGTTGTTGTTGTTGTTGTTTTAGTTGATTCATTGATACTATCATCCGTTTTCTTTGTATGTGAATTTGCATAGTATAAAGGAAACATTTTTAACGACTATCTAAAATAAATATATTGAAGTAATATTTAAAAAAATAGAAAAAAAACAAAATATTTTGTTTTTGTAGATAAATTCAATAAAATATGTAACAATTATTAATAGTTGAATTCTTCTAAGTATGTAATTATACTTATTTACATAATCATATATTTGCAGTTATATAAGAAAAAAAGAAAAGTTAGTATCCATCAAAACAAATACGATACGTATAACTCGTCTTAGCGTTCATCTGATATGATTTATTGAAAACAATATCTATTGGAAATCTAATGATGCCATAATTGTCTAATGAAGGAAAAGCTTTTGTTGTAGGAGGACATCATTTACATATCTATTACTCGCACAAGAAACCTTCTTCTCACAGATTTTATATACATTACCTTTTAGAACAAAAAAATTGTCTTCAAGCAACTTTTGACTATTACATATTTGTCGATTGAACAGAAATTCGTTCAAAAAGATGTACTATCTCTTCTGTTTCATTTAAGAGAAATTCAATAGAGTCATTGATAAGGTTGGCCGTCATAACGTCGAAAGGAAAAATGTCGAAAAGGAAAAATATCGAAAGAAAAGAACGAAAAATTGATGTGAAAGAGGAAAAACAGCGAAAGGAAAAATATCGAACAGAAAAATATCGAAAGGAGAAATGTCGAATGATTATACGTCGAAGGGGAAAAATGTCGAAAAAGGAAAGAAAAAGAAATCGAAAGAGAATTACGTCGAAAGAAAAATACTGAAAAAAATGATGTCTACACGAAATGATCACTTAAATGTCTCTACGTTTATTTTTCTTTTCTCATGATTCCATTGGTGTAGCACTATAATCATTAGTAATAGTAATCGATAGTATATGTTATAGAAGAATTTCAATAGTGATAGTGAGGAAATTGTATTAAACGATCGAAAATTTATTTCTATGGCTGCAGCTTATTTTTCTTCACTTAATGATAATATTTCACAACCTCCAATTTTTTCATATATTCCTATTTCTCAATGGTTTGTTCATGGATCGTGCATTAGAACAAAAATTAATACTGAGGATATACATTTCTTCCTACTTTTCTTAAAATCCACGCTTTTATATTTGTCAGTATTTCATAGTCGATTTAATCGTCGAGTACATATTAATCATCCGAACATCTGGTCGTTCATTAAATTTCTTCAAGCAGAAGAGAGTCGTTTTCATCACATGCATATTCAATTGTCTTCAGATTTAGGTACAAGAACACAAAAAGCTACAGCTATTGCTATTCAACATCGTATAGAAAATCATACTGAACGATATAATCATAGTCTTATAAATGTTATGGAATATTTAGACGGTCTATTACTTGTAGTTGCCAAGCAGAAAAAATAAAACGACACCTTTTTTTTCATTTTTATCTATATCTATGAGCAATAAATGATGTTATTATTGTATTAAAAGTAAGAGATTATTGCTTCAAATTTTTCCTCTTGAATATTTTCTATTCATTCTTTTTCTTTCAATATTCGCCTTCTCACATTTTCGTTCTGTTTCTTTCGATATTTTTCCCTTCGATATTTTTCCGGTCGACATTTTTCCTTTCGACATTTTTCTTTCGACATTTCTCCTTTCAACATTTTCGTTCTTTTTCTTTCGACATTTTTCCCCTTCGATATTTTTCCTTTCGACGTTACTACGGCGCCCCATTGATAATCAATCATAAGCTATTCAATCTCTACAATAAATTTATATTTTATTAGAATTTCAGCGAAATTCATATAAAATCTCTTCAAATTTTTTATTTCTATCATAGACATTTTACAAATTTTCTCTTAGCTCAAATTTTTTTTTGTATAATTTATATTAATTTTGAAAAATAAATCATCTTCGATTATGCATATATATATGAGTGAATTGCAACTTTTTGGTACAATTGACACAAAAAACTAAAAGTGAATCTAAACAAATTTTCAGTAGTACATTTTACTATGTTCTATTCTTGTAGTACACAGCAAAATTTTCCGAACATTTTATTGAATATTAAGCGAGATAGGCGAGATACGTAGTTCAGTTTCTACTAAATTTAGTGATGAAATGTCCTGCATACAGAGAAAAACACTTGATTCATTTCATCACTATTACAAAGAAAATTAATTGTCAAAAATATCTTATAATATATAGATTTGTTTGGTGCATTCAACTGAGTTTAATTCTATTCGAGCAGTTTCTTTGCGAGCTTATTCAACTGGACATGTTTGCATGAAAATCGTCACTCTATATTCTTGTTCAAAAAAACGTCACTCTACATTTTTCACTATATCGTAAATGTCTTTTGAACAATAATACTACTGAGAGCTGATATTTTTATGGCTTACATAACTTTTTATTTTGTTTCTACTGCAAAAAAATTCAGTCAAATTGAACATATCCTTAAAGAGTTATCGAATGCTCAATTTTCAAATCGTCACTCTACAAAGTCAGTATAATGACGTTTCTTTTTCAAAAGTTCGGCTATTTTCAATCAGAAATAAAGTTGTTAAGTAAGAACTTTTTTGCATCAATTTTTTAGATAACAAGCTTTCATTTCTTTTTATATGGTTCAAAGACCGTTAGCTCTACCATCAAGTGAGGTTCGAATTGCGGTTCCGTCAGTCTACACAATAATATATGAGTATCTATCGAACAATATGAACGTTAAGTGAGCGAATGAAGAACGAATAAAATTTAAATGAACAGTATAATTCGATAGAGCATCGCATGTTCTACAAACTAGCCTATTTGTATTCTTTTTCTTTTATTTTACTATAGTCAAAAAACTCTCTTTTCTTCATATATGTCATCGAAATATGATGTTTTTTCACAGTATATCTTTCATGAGTCCCCTATGATCTGAGATAAAGTGTTGAAGTTTTGTGTGGATGTGAAACACTTAAGGATTAGTGAAACGTAAAAGAAATTTTCGAAATTGATCAATCAGAAAACAAAATTATTAATAAAAGGCGGCTAAAATGCAATTGTACCAAAATGGTGCAATTCATTCATATATGTATATATATATATATATTCGTGGCACGATGTTTCCGCGCCGACATTTTCGCGCACTACACTTCCGCGCAGCAACACTACCGCGCGCGACACTTCCGCGCAAATGAAGTTTTTCTCTTCTGTTTACGTTGAGCTAATGCTAGAGGAATCACCTGGATTGCTATAGGAATTATCTGGAATGTTACGGAAATCACCTATGATGCTACAGGGATCATCTATGATACTGGAAGAATCGTCTGGGATGCTAGGGGGATCGCCTGGGATGCTAGTTGGATCACCTGGGATGCTAGCGGGATCGCTTGGGATGCTAGTGGTATCATCTGGGATGCTATATGGATCGCTTGGGATGCTAGGGGATCATCTGAAATGCTAGAGGATTGCCTGAGATGCTATATGCATCACCTATGATACAAAACGCATCAATTGGTGACGCTTGTAGAATCCCAGCTGACCCCTCCAGCAACTCAGGCGATCGTCTAGCATCCCAGGCGATGCGTCTAGTATCTCAGGCAATGATTCTAGTATCCAGAGCAATGTCTCTAGTATCCCGGCGATGTATGCAGCATTCCAGATGATCCTTCCAGCATCCTAGGTGGTCCCTGTAGTGTCCCCGATGAGCTTACCAGCAGTTCAAGTGATCCCTCTGGCATCCCAGGCTATGCCTCTAGCATCTTAGATGATCCCTCCAGTATCATAGACGATCGCTCTAGCATCCCAGATGATTCCTCCAGCATTAACACAACATAAACAGAAGAGAAAAACTTCATTTGCGCGGAAGTCTCGCGCGCGGTAGTGTTGCTGCGCGGAACGGTCGTGCGCGGAAAAGTCGGCGCGGAAACGTCTGTGAACCATATATATTATCACCACAAAATATAGTTCAGCTTGTGATTAGTTCATTTACTAAAGAATAGAACTATATTTAATTTTCATTTTACAGTTTATTGGTAGATGATTTCAATCGTTTTTTTTCTATTATACCAGAATTATGAATGACTAAGATTGTTAGTAGCTAAAGTTGGGATCAAACTGGTGCTTAATGTTTTTATGACTAATCTATACGGAATAACCTCTATAATGTGAGCACTATTGTGACCGGTTGGTTAAAAGTGCTTATTATTGGGAAATTTTTAGATACTTATTTAGTTGCTAAATCTCGTTGAGAAAAATGACGATCAGAATCTTTTATTAATTCTATTTTTTTTTTGAATAAAGGGAAATCGACACAGTGATATAATATAATGCTAGCGATTATTATTATAAAAATGAGATAATATCATACTGAACAACTTTATTTATGCTATGCATTTTTTTCCTTTTAATTACGCCCGATTAGTTTATATCGGCCAAATATCTGTCCTTTGTTTATTTTTGATAAGGCAGACGACATAGAATAGTTATTTTTCTCATTCTACGTCTCAGTTATAGAACACATATTGCTCATTTCATAGAGTTTGTTATATTTCATGTAATCAATAAAATGCGCTCACTAACAGAATGAGGAGATACTCATAATCAAGAGATTCATTTTCAGCAAAATTCACTCGGACAGCCCATAGAGCGCTTAGTATACAGAGTTACTTATTACTGAGAGGTGCTCACATAGAGAGGTTAAACTGTACATTTCAATTTTTAGAGAGTCTAAAT